AGAATTTAAATACTCAGAAATTGTTTTAACAGAAGACGTTAAATGCGACACCGAACACGCACTGGAATAGCGAAGATGTCTTCCAAAAGCTAAGCAAAACATTAAGAAACAAGAAAATTTCGCTAGAAACATAGAAAAGGGTAGTAAACTGTTACCCAATATCGGCCCTGTATATGGCAGTGAATGCTGGACCATCTCATCACAGACGGAGAAAAACTTGAGACAAAAGAAGGGTGGTTCTACAAAAGGATGCTGAAAATACTGTGAAAATACATGAGAGAGCAGCGACTAAGTTTTAGAGAAAATACGAACAAAAAGGGCCATTATATGTGATTTCAGAAAAAGGCAGTTGAAATTTCTATGGTACATAATAAGGAAAGGAGACTTGGAAAACTTGACATTTACAGGACATACTAGAGGCAATAGGTACAGACGTAAGAAGAGTATAACCTCACCTAACGAGGTTGTGCAAATGGTTGGCAGAACAGGGATTAGGAGAGATAAGAAAAAAATAAAATATACTGAGAGCTACAAAGAAAGGAAGTTATAGAGAGCCATGATCACCAATATCCTGAAGGGACACGAGATATAAGAGAAGATTCTTTAAGTGGTTGTCGTTGGGGAAGTGCCTTGAAAGAAAGTAGATGATTGTTTTTTGGGTTTTTTGGTTTTTAGTTAAATTCCAGCACTTTGGGTAGGTTTTTTTTTTTTTTTTTTTTTACACAAAACGAAAAAGGTGAACGCATCTGAAACTTAAAGGAGAGCAAAATTATTTATTCAGAGCGTAAGAATAAATTCACATTTTAATATTCTGTAGTATATAAACATTCCTTGCACAGACACATTGGGATACACTTATTTTTATTTACTAAATAGTGTGTATTACGTCTATTGGCCTACGCACTCAAGAAATCTTAGTAAAGAAAATCGGTTCACCGGCAGCGACCGAAATTAGGTTGCATTTGTAGGGGTAACCATCATTTGATTCGGCGTGCTTTATATATATATATATATATATATATATATATATATATATATATATATATATAGAGAGAGAGAGAGAGAGAGAGAGACAGAGAAAGAGAGAGAGAATTTATAGATAATATATATAATTCATAACATATATATTCGTAATAATAAAATAAAAATTTATAGTTATATTAAATATTCATAGTAAACTAACATCGATGTATACCACGTCTTCACGTAAAAAATAGACAATATTTAATTCAATAAGTAAAAACAATTAGTACGTACTATTTACATTATTCGGACTATTGTCCTCATCTTTGTTGCCATAATTACCGTTGTACGCTCCGGCCTTCTTCAGGTGGTTAGAAAGTCGAACTGAACACGTTATTTCTTTTGCTGAAGTAGGCTGTTCTAGTTTCACGTGCCATGTCTAATGAATGTCAGTTATTTTCTGTTAATTCCCCTCTCCAAGTTCTCCACCGCCTTAACCAGGTATTGAACTCACACTCTTTGGGTCCTGTCACTGGATCTATCTATCGCTTTTACCTACTGTGCCATGTGTCCTTGAGGACGTCTGTGTCGGAATTTCTGTTCATTATAAATCTAATGTCTACAGCAACCTTTTTTTACCAGTGCTCATATTGCAATTTTTGCTGTTATCGTTGCATGATTTTTACCAGAGCTCATATTGCAATTTTCGTTGTTATTATCGCTTTTCTCTGACACTCCTTATTACTGATTCCCATATTGTATTCATTTCTATGTTTGATCAGCTCAAGAGATTTTTGTGACCTAGCCTATGTGCTGATTCCTTAAGTTTACGAATTTTCCAATGATGTTCTTTGTCTATAATCTCAGCCTGATCCCACAGAGGGCGGTGATCTCCCATTTCTCTCCATATGTGGTCAACCACGCCTGATTTTTCCACTTCCCCTCGTGTTACAGCTTTCTGGTGTTCTTGAAGCCTTATCTGAAGGGGGTGGCCTGTTTCCCCTTTATATTTCTTTCCACAGCTACACGGGATGGTGTACACACAGTCGTTAGTCATGTTCTCCTCTATGGAAGTCTCTTGCTAGGCCATCCATTAGACATGGCACGTGGAACTAGATTAGTCTACCCCAGCGAGAGAAATAAAGGGTTCAGTTTGACATTCCAACCACCTGAAGAAGGCCGAAGCGTACAACGGCCGAAACGTTGTATGGCAACAAAGATGAGGGCAATAGTTCGAATAATGTAAATAGTGTACATAACACCTCATCTTAGAAATATAGACAGACAATTAGTACAAATAATATAATAAGAATATATGATAGCATAATAAAAAATCTAAAATAATATGAGAATATATATCATAATAAAAATCTTAAATAATATAAGAATAAATATTAACATAATAAAAATATAAAATGATAATAGAATATATAATAACATAATAGCAAAATATATAATATGATTAGAATATAACATAATGAATAGAATAAAAAGAGATGGATAGATAAATAGTGACCTTCACGTCCCTTCTTTAAAA